AATGATAGTTTTTTTTATACGTATATCTCCCACGTGTTCCTTTATTATTCTATGTTTAGAATATACGATTTTCCTCAACATACACAAATAACATGCGGAAATAAGATTAAATATAGTAAAGTATTGTAAACTAACCCACACTCACCCGAGGAAAAGTTGACCTATTGCCTCGTCGACATGTGACGTGGTGCTGACGTCACATGGACGTCACAGTACACATTTGTGACGCCAACTGAACCCCTCATGCGATGGCCGTTTCATGTATTTGTGTATGTACATTAATTTTTATAATTTTAAATATAATAATGAAAATAGTACAATGTCTCTTTTTTTATTAACAATCTATAATGTTTCGAGGTTTGCAGAAAATGTCTCTATTTAGAGGTAATCTCGCTTTAATATCTCTGATTTATATACTAGCTGTACCTGTGACTTCGACCGCGTGGAATAGTAACCTTGCCCAAGTAAATAAATGTTTGAAATTGGCTGCCCACATTATTTAGATTTTAGTCGCAATTTAGTACGTGTACATCAATTTATTTATCCGTACTTGTTTTTTATAAATTAAAAAAAATTATAATAGTGTAAGTGTGTCCGTTCGTTTGTTACATTTTCTATTCTTTCATTCATAGTTTAAGAGCTATGCTCTTGTCGGTGGAGCTCCCGCCACCTTCCACGATCTTCTATCAATCTTCATAGTTGTTGATACGACACGACTCCAACTTTTTCTTTAACTGGCTTGATATATGTAGCTGTGTCCTGGGGATTCCTTTTTCTCTTTCTTATTTTTTATTTCTCAGGAAAATTCCCACAGTGCCATCTAGTCCAAATCTAAGCAGAGATTGTGTTATGGGTACTAACCCATAACACAATCTCTGCTTAGATTTGGACTAGATAAGCTCTGGTTTGACAACTGATATATACATGTATGTACATATAAAATAACTGGACCTATACAAATATATGACGGTTTGCTAAACCGATAGACCACCGTGTCTGTCAATTGTTAGGGTTCACATCGATATTGTCGAAAAATCTGATATTTAAAAATATTTTTAGCGACTATACGGAAGGAATAATGGAATTTTTGTTATAATTATTGTATCATGTTTTAACTTTAAAGTAAGATAGAGGTACGTTATAATAATTGAATAACTGATAGACTGACAAATTATTATGATTATGATATTAGTATGGATAACTTTGGGAGTTGGTTTGTTGCCTGTTTCTTACTTAATTAGCTGATTGTACCATCATGATTGTGTCCTATTATTATAAAAAACTACAACAATAATAATAGTACCATTAAAGTGACATAGATAAATTATATATATAATTTAGGAAAAAATAGAATTGACAAGAAAGTGTCACAAATAATGATTGAATTCCATGAATATTTATAAGGTTATTAAGTTAATTACTGATCAATATCAATACATATAATTTATGATAGTTTTATGTACATATGCACTAGCTGTGCTCGCGGTTTCACCCTCATGATGTGTCATTCTGATGTATAGCTATATTACTGTAAAGTTTCATCAAAATATGTTCAGTTGTTTTTTCGTGAAAGAGTACCTAACAAACATCCACCGATCTATTCATTCTTCCTCACAAATTTTCGTGTCTATTAATAAACTTTGTATTTTTGATATATGTTTTTTATATATCATTTTTACTGTTGTTATTTCTTCGCTGTGAGGCCTTTTGGGAAATATACACATTCATTACAATTACTTGATTTTCAATAAAATAGTCATTGTGTTCCCGCTCCAGTCACAATTAGTAAGATATAATTATAATATATATACACATATGTATATAATATTATATATATAATCCAGTAGTAGTAATAGCGTACATAAAAAAAGACTGAGGAAACGGGCAGATTCCATACCTTAGGGACTCACGAATTCATGAAATTATGTTTGTTACGTTTAAGCGGATTAGGAAAAATAAATGTTCCCATTTAACGACCAATATTAGTACCTACTATAATTTATTTTGTGAAACAGTTTCATTATAATAATAAATTAGTTCTATTGTGAATAGAGAATAAATAAATGAAATGAAAAATGCTGCAAAACTGGAAATAAAGGGCGCAGAATAAGTTGCGCGATGAAAGAGCGGATATTTTTATGACGAAAGTAAATTTCGGAAGTACTGCACAGAATTGAGATATTTTTCCTTTTTTTAAGAATTTAACATAGGCTATATATAAATATATACAGAAATCACAAAGTTATAAGCACCAGGGCCAAGCCGGAGCTATGCATTAAAAAATAGGTTAAAAATATTATTTATTTAAATTATTTAGTGATCCTACCATCCAGTCGGAATGTAGTGGTGGAGACAATTCGAATTAGGCGACGAAACAATCAATTTAACTATTCAGTTCTACAAGTATACTGTACCGGCGATTTCATCCACACGAAATTAATAATCTGTGTTTTTCTGATGTATAAGTTATATTATTGTAAAGTTTAATTTAAATCCATTCAGTAGATTTGGCTTAAAATTGTAACAAGCATCCATCCATACTCAAAAACTATCGCATTTATAACACGTATCGTATTTATAGACAATATTTTATTACTAAATTTATTTTATTAAAGTAGTAGTATAGGTACATATATTATCTATTTACGCTTTCCATACTCACAAACTTTCGCCTTTTATAAAATTATTTATAAGATTAGTATGGTTATTCGCATATAACGTAAACACGACATGGACACACATGACTCGTTGTAATAAATTGTGCCCTGACACAATTGGCTTAATGACCTGCCGGCCATGGGAAAGTCTAGTCTCAATTGTCACAATCATATTGAGTGTTCACATCAAACACTGGCGTCAATAATATAGCAATAATAATACTCAGAATAAGAACATCTGTGTTCTTACGAGTTTTAAACAATTTAAATTTATAGACGATTTTAGTTGCGGTGGCTTTCAAAAATTATATACATAGGTAGAAAAGGAGCAAGGTCACAAAAAGGACGATAAAATTGACATATAGGGAGAAGAGGAGCAGGGTCACTAAAATGTGTCCTTGTGTGACATAATGTGATGACAAAGATTGATCCTAAATTTTGTGTCATCACAATTTAAAATCAAATATACTAATATACAAGTGAATATCAAGATGCATAAAAATATAGCTAACTTTATCGGTATGGACATAAGCTTTAAATTGTTTTGTTGGCAATTTTATACGCGGTCTTCTAGGTCTGTAAAATTATAAAATATTTTATGACACACTAGAAATCATGAAATTTATGCGCCGTAAGTTAAGGAAAAATGGTCATAGTAGTTTAGTTGTGAAGATTACTTTCTCACAGCTGTCAGAGAGATAGTTTGGTTCTAGCTTTTTTTAAATCCGTCATTATTATCTAAACTGATGTCACAAAAAGAGAGCGGATTTTATTATAAGGAAAATAAACGCCGGAACCAGTGCACCGGCTTAAGAAATGATTTAAATGTTAGAATGATATATTATTTTTGCATGACAAAGGCTATATATTAGGATAATATACTATAACTCATATATATATGGGCATAGGGCGTGGTTCTAGTGTTACTACTATTGTAACCCGTGCGTCCAATCTAACTGTAATTTACTAAACGATGTTAATAAGCTTCATAAAACTTGCACGTGTAAAAGGTAGTTTTATAAATGTTAAATATTAAACCAAGTTATTCAGATAACATCGAATAAATCTTACTTGACATTTAGTCTATGGGACGCCCCACGCTGGAAACATTATTTATTAAACGCGGTTTCTAAGTAAACATTGAATCATTTGTCGGTTACAAATGATTGATCGGTTCAGTTTGTGATACACAATGATAAGGCAAATATTTAGCAGAAAAATGAATTTGTAATTTTTATTCAAAAGTCGTCACCTTGTGGTCAAAATTCGACCATTAAGTAAGAACATTAAGTATTAACATTAAGTAAGACTATAATTAAATATTAAAACAAACAATATTAATCTATTATCAATTTGACCACAGACTTTAACAATAAACAAACGAGTATGTGTGTGTGTGTGTGTCAAATACACGGTAGTGTCTAATGTTTTATTAATTAATTTAATGTATTTTTTCGGCACAATTAAAAATATATATTAGTATTCTTCAATCCTTTTTTATATAAACCTTAAGTGCGAAATTTCATGTTTCTTCGCCAGCGCAATTTTCGTTACGAGGAGTACAAAGTTTTGCTTCATACTACATACATACTTCATTAATAAAGATATTTTGGATAATTTGCGGTACTTTAAAACAGTCTTTTTTAATGACAATAAATGGAATGTCTATTTTTATTATTATATTTATTCAACCTGTCTTCTTCTCATCCATATCTACCAGTCATACCTTGCCAGGCGTTTCTATCCTGGGTCATCAAATTTTTACATTAGTCTTCAAATCATTGATAATGGAATGTCAAGTCAATGGGTTTCTTCCTTATCTCTATGTCCAGTACATTTAAGTAGTAAATTCTTAATTATTGAGTACTATTTTCTTTGCGATCTATTATTACAAAAGATTTTACAAATCATTTTCGATATTCATGTAAATAGTTTTGACTGTACTGCGACAAATATAACGTTGATAAAATAATGACTGTAAAATTTGTATGAATCATTATGTAATCAGTATATGACAAAGGAAGTTGGTTTTATTGATGTACTTACAGTATGACCAACTCAAAATACACCGATTACGTTGAGTTTTTAATCTGACTTGTAAATCATTATTCATAATGATTTACAAGTTATTTTATTATATCAATAACTAGCTAACGCCAATTTATCAATAATAAAGAAGAGAGAATATTTTAAGTACCTATTTAATTAAAATGTTGCATGAGTTTTTTTCTTCGAAAATTATATGTTAGAGAGACTCGACGTACAATTTCAGTATTTTGATATATTTTTAACAAATATATTGTTTTAAATATATATATATATATATTTCTTTTTGTATTCCAGAGTAAGCTCTTCAGTTCAAAATCGAGTGACTTCGAGAACGAAGCTCTTGAAGTTCACAATGAGTACAGAAGAGAACATGGTACGGAACCCCTGATTTTAAACAAAGAAATCAGTAAGGTCAGCCAAAAATGGGCAGAGGACCTAGCAAAACGCGACGAAATGGAATACAGCCACAACAAAAACTACGGTGAAAACATTTATTGCGGCTGGACTACAGATACAAACACAAAAATAAAAGCCAGAGATTGTGTAGACAGATGGTATGGTGAAATCAATCAATACTCATTTGGTAGAGAACCAGAAGTATTAAAATGCGGTCACTTCACACAATTAATATGGAAAACTACAAGAGAAATAGGTATAGGTAGCGCTAAGAGTAAATCTGGAAAGCTTTATGTTGTAGCTCATTATTATCCACCTGGTAATTTTAGTAAACAATTTGTAAAAAATGTACCCCCACCTGGAGCTCTACAATTCAAATCGAATTCGGGTACGAAAAATTCTGAACTGCCAAAAGGATCAAACAACAATATATCAACTTCAACTCCTACTCAGCGTAATAGTAAGATTGGCGAATTAGCGACAGATTTGGTAAGTAAACTGAAATCGACGTCAGTTTCTGGTGATAACTTTGAGGAAGAATTTTTGAAAGCCCATAACGACTACAGAAGAAATCACGGAGTAGCGCCTTTAAAGTTGAATAAAAAGTTATGTAAATACGCAGACGAGTGGGCTAAAGTATTGGTCAAGAAAGGTAAAATGGAGCACAGAGACCAAGACGATTACGGTGAAAATATATTTTATGCATGGTCCTCTAATCCAAATTTCGAAATAACCGGCAAGGATCCAGTAGAAAAATGGTATAGTGAAATAAAAGATCACAAATTTGGCAAAGAGCCTACTAATTTAGGAACAGGACACTTTACTCAAGTCATTTGGGAGGATACGCAAGAGCTAGGTGTGGGTATGGCGAGGTCCAAAGATGGCCATATCTACGTTGTAGGAAATTATTTCCCCCCCGGCAATGTTGTCGGCAGTTTTGCACAGAAAGTACGTCCGCCTCTTAATTAAACTTTCTTCCAGTTCTATTAGATATTTATGAATATTTTTTCAATAGCCAAAGATACATTCCAAATAGTTACTTCCTATTTTTTACGCATTTATTTATTTGTTTTGTAAATTATATTATAAGAATAAATATAAGTTATATAATTTTTACAACTTTACGTTTTATTTGCATTATTATGTAATAACTAAATATTTACCTGTAAATATATCTCTAAATATACGAAAAAAAAATAACCGGCCTTTACATTTTCTTTTATAAATCTTAATTCAAAAGTTCATTAGAAAGTTTGAGTTTCACTATGCGCAAATTAAAAAAAATGGGTATTTGCCAAAATTAATATTTGCTATATTTATTGCCCATATTGATTTTGACAGATCCCCATTATTCAGAATTTCATTACTCACCATATTATAAATTGTATTAATCCTTTTCGTATTACTATGTGCTAATATGATTATTATACTACTATCTTACTTGTGCCAAGGATTTAAAAGCAATACAACGTTTTAAGCCACTTATGTACGTCAACTTTTTTATTACTACTTTTAGGTATACTTAAGTACTTTAAAACCAGTCTTTAAAGTGCATGTGTGAAACAAAGTTAGACGAGTAAGTTAAGTGCCTCTATTTATATAAACAAAAAGTCTCCTTAGATGCCTGCAATAATACATTATTTTGTTTGATGTTACAACACTTACTATATAGTATAATATATAATATTATACTATACTTCAATCTTCTCATTATTCATAAATATTTATTATATATTTAATAAAAGTAAAACAAAAGATAGAGAATTTAGTAAAAGCACTATTGTATAGTCATTTTTATTCTACCACTACATTGGGAAAGCAGATTGATTCGAAAAGGATAATCAAGATACTGACTATCGCTCTTTTCAAACAAACGTTGTACTTTACAGTTTTAAGTATTTGTCTGAATACGAACTACCATACAGCATGCAAGTTTAAAAGTCAATATGAATTGAAATACAGATACACAGCTAACTAAATCTGGAAAAAGTAAAATAATTATAAATAATAGATTTATTTATAACTAGCTACTTGCCTCGGCTTCGCACGGGTGCACATATATTATATATATACACATATATATATAAACCTTCTTTAATCACTCTATCTATTAAAAAAACGCTTCAAAATCCGTTGCGTACTTTTAAAGATTTAGTCATACATAGAGACGGACAGACAGCGACAGCGACTTTGTTTTATACTATATAATGATTATTTACTGTAAATTTTTATAAATAGTACAATAACAGAGAAATACACTCCTTCAAGTAGGTATTTGCGAGTGTCAATATTGATACGCTTGCTTAATTCCATAACTATGGTATGGACTATCTACATTTCTAACCATGAAAAGGGCAAGTGATACTCGCCCTTCAATTGCTCAGTCCACGAGTGGTCTCACCACAAGACTGATAGAGATAAGGCATGGATGGGTGCAAAAGGGTCCGTAAGTATGCATTTAACAAATTCCACCCCCGTACAAATACATCCCTTTGTATATTTACCTCTATTACTAACGCAAGAAGGTCGTGTTTCAAATGATCCTCTTTCTACAGGAGCAAAATCATTTTGGTAACTGTAAACGTTTGGGTTATTATCATTAGTTTTGAAAAGCAATTTAGTAAGGGACTGCCTAAGTTTGACTTATTTAAAGTTGAAGTTAAATTGAGTGAAATTCTAGCTTCATTTTACAGAACTTTTCGGATATTTACTCGGAATCGGTTTTAGATTAATTGAATACAATTGATTTTAAAGTTGTTAAGTGGATTTTATAAAGTTGAATGTTGAATGTAGTAGTTTTGTTAATCTGGGAAAACTTTGCAAGCATTTGGTTATCAGATATTACTTATTAGATTGATATTTGAAAACTATGGTAGAAGTGATCGATACGTGATTAACAAAGAAAATAACACATACATTAATTAATAATAATTTTTATCCACAACAAATTTACTTTCCAGTCATTCCCATAAATACAACTGAACACACAACAAAAGAAAATCACGTCAAGATAACGTAAATTTACTATTTTTTTTGGTGCAACAAAGATTATAATTATGTTTCCAGCTTCATTCTTAGCGATTTGTGTTTACATATTGTAGTAGTATTCCCAAGCACCAGCCTCGCACGGTAGTTTATAGTTTTTTTTTTTTTTTTTATAAAAATAAAAATTAGTTGTTGTATTGACTATTCCCTTACTACCTCCCACTACTTACCCGATAAGGTGGGATATTCTTGTTACTGCACTCATTCTGTGTTTCCGTGCCGAAGCCTCCGCACGTCTACAATATACGAAGCTACTATCAACATGGGGAGAAGACGAAGGAACGAAGACAGCGAAGAAAACATTCAAACAAGAAAATTACAAGAGACTCTGAAAAAAGAAAAATCTTCGTGTAATTTATTCATCGGAGAGTGAATCTGAAGGTAGAAAATTATAAATTTGATGCGAGCTTACCATACTGGGTATTCTCTGTCAACCAAAAAGGTGATGCGAGCTTACCATACTGGGTATTCTCTGTCAACCAAAAATGTGATGCGAGCTTACCATACTGGGTATTCTCTGTCAACCAAAAATGTGATGCGAGCTTACCATACTGGGTATTCTCTGTCAACCAAAAATGTGATGCGAGCTTACCATACTGGGTATTCTCTGTCAACCAAAAATGTGATGCGAGCTTACCATACTGGGTATTCTCTGTCAACCAAAAATGTGATGCGAGCTTACCATACTGGGTATTCTCTGTCAACCAAAAATGTGATGCGAGCTTACCATACTGGGTATTCTCTGTCAACCAAAAATGTGATGCGAGCTTACCACACTGGCTATTCTCCGTCAAGTAAAAATGTGATGCGAGTTTACCATACTGGGTATTCTGCGTCAAGTAAAAGTGTGATGTAAGCTTACCACATTGGTTATTCTGTCATTATCTAAATTCAATGTTTTATATTCTCTAGGTCTTCAGGATGTGCAAAACGACGAGATCGACTTTAATCCACAAAGCGTTAGTTCAGAACGGCTATATAAACCAGAGCATCGGTCATTCGAGCCTGTTATTACCGTTGCACTCCAATCCTGTCATGACAACGATGTCTTCATCACCACAGTCAGGACCATCTGCACCACCACAAGAAAATATAGGTACAGAAGATGAGGTTATCCATGCCGCAGACATACTCGCCATTCTCGAGAACGCGCCAAATCAAAGACTAATTTTGGTAAAAACATCCGATAAAGAATGTTGCATCGAGATGAAAGGAAATATTAAAATGGCCTCCCAAAGGAAGCTAGTGACGATATTCTAAAAAATACTTGATACCTGCTAATTGCAGTCTAACATCTAAAGAAACCTCTCTCAAAAAAAAAAAAAATATATATATTAAAACCTATAAACAATGAGAATCGTTTGTTATGCGACAGCTACAATTTAGAAACAAAAATCCGTTGTAATTGCATCTGTTAATAGTGGGCTACATATTAATAAAGATACATTGATGATACTTCTGCTAATATTTACGTGTCTGGAGAGAACATCACAAAAAAAAAAAAATTTTTTTTGAAGGTACCTCAAACAATCAATCGGCCATGAGAGAAAAAATCTAAATAAACGTTTTAGTATGAAAAACTCGATCCAAAAACAAGTTAAACTTCAGAGCCCTGCATCTGAAGACATCCAACAGGGCTTATGCAATGCAACCGAAGCCACCACCGCGATCCGTAGCCAGCAGGCGCAGGCGCAGGCGCAGGATCCTTACGAGGTACACTATGCATCCCGTTTGAAATATTTCGTGCCACGGTGGAGTGAGAACAGTTAAAACGAGACATTGCTTGTCTGGTGTGCCGGCTATACAATAACGTTATACTCCGTACCGACAAACCTCCAAGTGTCTACCCAAAAACACTAGAAGAATCGATAGATTTCAGTGATGCTATATACAGGACCTTTTATAAAATAATGTAATCTCAGAGTGCTGGCATGAACCAAACTAATTTATATCCAGCGTAGTTATATCATAAAAACAGATTTATTCTAAATTTAAAAACATTAAAGAGATTTATAACAACCACACACTTTTAGTTGGAAGACTATAGAATTTCCTTAAAATTAGTGATGGCATCCGTATGATATCATAGCATCCGTTGATATAAGTATCTGCTTTCAATTAATATTGTACAATCACGAAGAAAGTATTTACGCTTCAAATATGCCGATAAATTATATGCCACCGTGTAGAACTAACTTGCATAAAATTAACTCACAGTTCAGCTCCATACAAATATATAATAAAATACCACAGGTAATTCGAGAGATTTAAAAAAGAATTACAGCAATGGCTCGTTAAAAAAAAAATGCTGTTACTCTTTGCGGGAATTGACCTGACATCTGATATTATTATTTATAATGTAATTTAATTGTAAAAGTAATTGTTATGAATTGTAATTTGCATGCCCCCTGAATATGAGGCGAACATTTATACTGTTGTTGTAAATGTTGAAGCAAATAAATTATCTATCTATCTATCAATTCAATTGATTACTATTTGGCCTGTGTACAGCCCCATACATATTTACAGAGATTTTGTTATGTAATATAATACCAGTTATGTAATATTTATTTACTTGTTTTGGCCGTTTATATGCTGAATGTTATTCTAATGTCAATGATACCACTTGTATTTTCCAATCACTACTTATTTAATAATAATAATAATAACAGAATAAATAATATTAATAATAATAAAATTAAGAAATAATAATAATAATAATACAATGAGCTTGCACCCATCTCTGGCGCTCTTCAAAAACGCAAACGATGGACACTTGAAATGAATTTGTTCATATTGCGAACTTACCTTCAACTCACTGCATTAGACACTGACACAAAAAACTACTTGGAACCTTTACATCTAAAGTTTATTGAAAAATACCCTAATATGCATGTCAGTCGAACACATGCCGCATGGTTAGAAAGTTTCTACAGACAGATTAGGCCTACATTTGTATTATGGTATATCCACCTGAAATAGAACATTGTTATGTACTTGGCT